TGCTTTATACAGCTGCCATGAGCCAAGCACATAGAGCCTGGGGGACCTGCAGTGCCCTGTGCCCTTATGGCTCTCCTGTCCCAGGTTCACGGAGCTGGTGGATGGCAGAGGGAGGATCAGTGCCAGGTTTGGCACTGCGCTGGGAAAATCCATCACTGTGAAGACACGTAAGTGCTCTCATGCCTTTGTGTCCTGCTCCTGTCATCCAATACCATTTCCTGCACCTCCCTGCAAGTTGAGGTGGCAGCCAGGCAGGCTGCTGTAGGGCTGGGGGAGATATAGAGGAGGGAGGACCCCTCTCATTGGCCCTGGGCAGGCAAACATCTGCTCTGTTTGTTAGACCCCTGCCTGAGGAGAGGAGTGACTGGCTGGGGGACCCCAGAGAATAACCCTTGCTGAAGGGAGGCAGGCTGCCCTTCTTCCCTGCCAGCAGCAGCAGGGGCCTGAGCAGTAGCTCCATAGCCCTCCAGTGCAGCTCCTGCCTGCCCAGCAACCTCAGCCCGCACTGTTAAGAGCAGCCTCACACCCAAGGAGGGTGCCTGGTGAGAAACCTCTCACTAGTCCAGACGTAGCCCCCATTTTCCATCCCCAGAAGAGTGGAGACCAACCCAAGTGCCAAACCAAGATACCCTAGAGCACCTGCAAACCCCACACCATGGGGTGGGGAAGGGGCCTGGCACACCTGAGTGCAGCCCTTGGCCTCACTGTACATCCTGGTTCTGTCCCTGCCTCCCCAAGACTCTGTGTCCCAGCCCCTTCCAGGAGTAGTGAGAGTGTCACCCGAATTCTAGGGATGCCAGCTGGGAAGGGCTAAAGCACTGCCTCAGGCCTGACCAGTGCCCCAAAGCTGCAGGCAGGCTGGATCCCTTTGGAGGGGCTGCTTTTGGGTCTGGCTCTGGCCTGGAAGGTGACATTTTATCTTCTCATTGTCCAGAGACAGAGGCTCCAGTGAAGCTGGAGAACACAGAGGTGTCCAGCTGGGACAGTCTGGCACTGCAGCTGCGTGAGGCAAAGAGCAAGAGTAAGTCCCAGAGGAGACCCACAGCAGCAGGAACCCAGCCCTGGCCCCACAGGCAACCTGCTCAGCACCAGCCTGCCCTCCTTGGAGGCATGGCAGGCACCTGCTCTTCCTGGGAGCACCCCAGCAATGCCAGGGGCTTGGCAGGGCTGAGCAGTGGCCCCAGGCTCTGATGGTTGAGCGTGTTTTGCAGGAGAGGGGCAGAACTGCTCCAAGAATCCCTGCAGGAATGGAGGCACCTGTACCCGAGATGACGAGTCCTACCACTGCGCCTGCCGCCCGGGCTTCAAGGGCCGGGTCTGCCAGCTGGGTGAGTGCCAGGCTGTGCCCAAGGGCCAAGCTCCATCCTGCAGTGCCAGGCTGGTGGCTGTCCCTATCACAGCATGTCCCCTAGGATGTAGGTCACCCAGCACACCCTGCCAGCACCCAGGGGCTCCCACGATGCCCAGGCTTTGCTAGAGATCTGTGTCATGCTGGAAGCTGAGAGAGGGGCTGGGCTCTGCTTTTAGTTTGAGGAGATACTTGCAGGTCTGGTCTCTGCTCCTGACTGAGCTCTCTGCCTCTTGCCTGGCAAGCCAGGCCCCTGCCTTACCCAGAGACTTGCATAGGCAGTGTGAGGCTGGGGGCTCTGCTTCTGCTGGTGGGTCAGCTGTGTTGAGACCAGCCCTACAGCATGGCCAGGAAGCCAGAGGGACCTCACCAGACCCTTGCCACAAGGCACAGGCAGGCAGGGCCAGGGATGGGCTCAGTGATAGCTCCCCTCTCCTATTCCCCAAGCAGCCTGCAAGAAGGTGCCACACTGGTGCACGCGGCTGTACTCGGAAACCAGGTCATTCCCAGTGTGGGAAGGAGGCACCTGCCACTATCTGTGAGTACTGCCTGCAGGTTATGCTCCCCCCTTCCCCTTGTGCTCTGAGCTGGGGATGTCTCCCTGCAGCTCGGCTTTGGGGAAGGGAGAGCGAGCACAAGGCCGTCTCCAACCCCAGCTGGCAGTTGCCCCCTCCCCAGTGCAGGCTGAGCAGCCTGGCAGCCCCTGTGGCCACCCCCAGCTGTGCATCAGGGCAGGGTGTTGCTGAAGTGACAGCCCCATACTGCTGTTACCCACCCACATGGCAGCAAGGTTGGATTTGGTGTGTGTGACCCCCAGACAGAAGTAGATCCCATCCAGCTCCTGGCTGCCTCTCCATCTGTGAGCAGAGGGCTGGGGGAGCCCTGATGCAGTGCCAGGGCTTGGGGGGTTCTGCTCTGCCCCAGCCTCCTGTGGTGGAGCCACAAAGGCCTGGCTGGGATCAGTCCTCCAGCACAGCAGGCTGAGCCCCATTCCTGCCAAGGCTGGCTTCTGCAGCCTGCAAGGAAATAGAGGAAATACCCAGACTTCCCCTTCACTCTCATTAAAGCACATCTGTTCCTTTTGTTCCCTACACTCACACCTCCCCCGTGTGTGCAGGTCCAGGAGAATCTACAAGGTACACCAGGATATCTGCTACAAGGAGAGCTGTGAGAGCACCAGTTCTGAGAGGACAAGCAGCAGGTACAGCCCGCAGCAGCACACTGGGTGTGCCAGCCTTCCTGTGATCCTGGACAGGAGGATGTGGCTGCCTGGTGTGCCCCAGCATGCATGGGGACACCCAGGCTGGGGGTGGATGGGTAGGGGGTGCAGACATGACCAAGGCTTGGATGCCAGTGCTGTGAGCTTTGCCTGTGAGCAATGGCCAAGGGGCATGGGGCTGACAGTGCTGTCCTCCCTTCTCTTCCAGAAAGCCAAGCAACAGTCACACACTGAAGAAGCCATAGAAGTAAGTACCTGCTCCAGCTCTCCTCAGATGCAGGCAGGGGCATTTCTCATGCAGGGAGTCAGGGAGATCGGTGCAGGCCAGGGCACAACCCTAGCTCATGCCACCATGTCGAGGGGGTCTGAGGGCTTATGGCTGAAGGTTCCTAGTTGTGGCTGGGGTAGAGAAGCAGGAGGCAATGCTCTGCTTCCCCCTGGCTCTGCAGCTCCACCTGAACAAGAGATTCCTGCATAAAAAGGGCCAGGCAAAGGCTGGAGTCCTGGAGGCAGCTGCTCCCCTTCTCTCAGCACAAGACTGGTGCACAGGGTGGGAAGAGGCCAGCTGCAGGGCATTTGGCAAACTGCACACCGGCTCATTTTACTCCTGCTCCTCCACAGGGTTTAAAGCAGTAGAAGCTTCATCTTTCCACATCTAAGGGCTTTTTGAACACCAGGAAGATCCGATCTGCTCACTGGGTTGAACACAGCAGGGGAGCCTTCCTGCCTGGTGTCAACCTCTCCCTCTCCTCCAGCCCATTAGGGACACGCAGCTGGATCAGCACACTGAGTAGTGCTCCCTTTCCCCCTGCTGGCCCAGCACTGCCTTTGCTGGCCCCCTCTCTCCCTGAGGAGCTGAGCACCAGTGCCCCTTGAGGGGGCCAGCCCTGCTCAGCACCCCCAGCCACTCTGCACAAGCGACGGGCTCCCCGCTTCACTCAGGGATCAGCCCAGCTCCTTGCCAACAGCATCTGCTTTCATAATCCAAGGTTCTAAATTACCTATAACCCTCAAATAAAACAGTTTAATGCAGACCAAAAAGCTTTAGCCATCACCTGAAATCTGGCCCCCCAAAATATGCTCTGAGGAGCAGCCTCTGTAGATGAGTTAGAAATGGTGAGCAGCTCCGAGTGGTGAGGTGAGCACAGGGAGTAGAGGAGCATTCCTGTTTCCTCTGCTCTAGCAGGGGAAACTGAGGCATCTTATACTGCCTGCCTTTTTTTCTTTGCTTTGTAAACAAGCCCTGGTTTTAACCAAATATCCAGCTCAGAAGCCAACAGAGCACCTAAAAAGCATTTAAAATGTGATCTGTAGGGTGAAATCTGTCAGATGAGGCATGTCAGTACCACCACACTTGTAGTTGCCTCCACACCAGTGCAGGGCACAGCAGAGGCTTGCTGAGGAAGCCAGCCCCACATGCCAGCCCCTTGCACTGCACTTCCCTGTGGCACCAGTGCTGCAGGGTTATGTGGAGGAGAGGACCAGCACTGCAGCAGGGCAGGCAAGGAAATAAAAAGTGTAGCTTAGAAACATTCCTAGTTTTTGTGAGTTTGTATGACAACACTAGTTAAACATAGATTTGTGTATTAACGTACACGGTGTATATTATAAATTAACACATACCAGAGATATATCGCAGTTATGGTATAGAGCGTCATGGCCCCAGCAGAGTGGGATTATTCTGGTGGGGAGGGCCTCCCCTCCTGCCAAGCAGGGCTCTGTTGCTCAGCCACATGTCTCAAGCAGCAGCTTGGAAGATGCTCTCAGAGCAGGGCAGGCCCAGGAGTTTCAGTGCTCCTGCCACCACCCTCTTCCTCCCCAGAGCAGTGGTAACAGTGCTCAGCCTGGGGGCAGGGGCAATGTGAAGCCACGACCAGCTGGCCCGTGTGCTGCTCCCCTCCTGCACCACCTCTAGCTTTGCTCCCACAGGACAGACATGCCCTGTTTTCCTCCAAGGCTGCCTGGTCCTCCCCCAGCTGCCTGGCAAGCACAGCAGCCCTGCCTTCCCAGGGCAGGAGAAGCTGCCAGCCCTCCCTACCAGGAAGAGCAGGGTAAGGGGAAACCCAGACAGGAGAGTTTGGAGCTGTGGTCTCAAAGTATTTGCACCCCTGCTCTGCCAGCCACGAGATCAGCACTGACATGGGCTGTGGAGGTGGATGTGGCCCTGCCATGGGACAGTTCTGTATCCACAGGATTTGTCCCCACAGCACCAGGAAGCTTGGTCCCACTGCCAGCCAGCAGAGCATCCCACAGCCTCTTGTCCCACAGCTGGCTCAGTATGTAATGCAGCTGGAAGGTTTTAACCTAGTCTTGGAAATAAATTAGGGATTTTTGTTTGATTTTTTTTTTTTAATAAAAACACTTTATTGAAACTGGTTTGTTTTGTTTTGCTTTTTTTAAGTAGTTGGTCAAGGAGGAGAAAAATGAGTGCTGTTGTATTTGACAGATGGGATTTATTGGTACCCCACCCATGGGGTCCTGCAGTCACCCCAGGTTGTGCTGGTGTGGCGTGGGAGCCCAAAGCACCCAGTGAGTGCAGTGGCCCAGGAGGGCTGGCACCTCAGAGCTTCACCTCCTCACTCCCCGGCTGTTTTACTTTCATCGCTGTCCAAATCATCATCATCCTCTGTGTACAGTGCATCCACATCCTCCTCTTCCTTCTTCTCCTCCTCCTCTCGAGCCAGCAGCTTCTTGAAGACCTCAAACTCCTCTGGAGTAGAGTAGGCCAGGCTGGCCAGGAAGTCTTTCTCTGGGAGCTGAAGGATGTCCTTCAGTTTTGGGTTACTAGTTTGGGTCTGTCCTTTGTGTGGGGTCTCATAGAGCCCCCGGCGCTCCAGGAAGATGTGCCGATTCCGGAGCTCGGCAAAGGGCATTTGGAAGAGCCGAGCCTTCACCATCTCTTTCTGCTGGACCCCCATTCTGAAGTAAGCGTACTGCGGGCGGAACGGGGGGTGTCAGGCACAGCCCTATTCCCGCAGCCGCTTCTGGCAGGAACGTGGGTCTCGGTCCTCACCTGGAACTGGTGATGGAGGGTGTGCGGCTCCTCCAGCAGGACGGCGGGGCAGGTCCCCAGCACTTCCCGCAGCTGCTCCGCCGTGAAAAGGCAGCGCTCCCGCAGCAGCCGCACCGCCGCCTCCAGCCTCTTCCGCGGCACGTGGAAGAGCTGCGGGCAGCGGCTCGCCGCCCGCTGCAACCGGCCTGCGGGCAGCGGGTCAGCGGCCGGCAGCTCGGCGGCAGAGCCCCGCTGTTCCCCCCGCAGCCCCGCTCGCTGCCCTACCTCCGTCCAGCCCCAGGCGCCGCAGCTCCTCGGCGCGCTCCCGGAGTCGCTCCGCGGGCAGCCGCAGAAGCGCCGGGCTCCGCTCCAGCAGCGCCAGGGCGGCCTCGGCGCTCAGCCCCAGCAGCAGCAGCTGCGCCGCCGCCGCCTCCCGGTGCTCGGGGCCGAGCCGGGGCTGCAGCGCCAGGAGCCGCCGGGCCTGCTCCTGGCTGAAGCCCATGGCCCGCAGCCCCGCCAGCTCCCCGCAGCCGCGGCGGGCGCAAGGCCCGGGGGCGGCGGGGAGCGCCCGGCCCGGCCGCAGCGCCCTCCCCGCGCCGCGCAGCAGCAGCAGCCGCCCCGCCATGGCCGCGCCGTGGGGCCCGGGCCCGCCCCGCTCCGCCCCGGAGCGGCCGCGACCCGCCCCGGGCAGCGCCTGCGGGTCGGGAGGAGCGGCCGGCTGGGCTCTCCGGGCTGCCCGGTGCCCTGGGGAGAGCGCGGGCAGAGCGGCTCGTCCGCTCCGGTGCCCGCAGAGCCGATCCCGCCGGGGCCAGAGCCGGGGCGCGGTGCTACAGAACGCAGGTGAGGTCAAGTGTTGGAGATAGCAGAGTCCAGAGCTGGATACAAACCTAATTAGTGTTAGGTGTAGTAAGCATAATTGGCGCCACTCCTTGTATGAAATATGTAATATTGGATATTTGTTAGATTATGCTCCTTTGTATTAGAAGCCCCCCCCCCCGCCCCCGCCGGCGAGACCTGGTGTATATTGGAACCCGATTTACAAGTAAAAGGATGTGGCTCAGCCAGGAGATGGAGATGTCTGGAGAGATACTGGATGCCCAGGCGCTGATCATCGCATAAGCGACCAGAGATGGATCTCATGGAAATCCTCGGGCAGATACATGTGAATGCAGGGTTCCTGTAAATTCCATCAAGGGATTCAACAACTCCGGACACTGAACTGTTCTTCCTCATCACCAAAAACGAAAATCTTATTAACCTATGGACTCTGAATAGAAGAAAAGACTGACTGCCGAAATCTTGGCCTCAGGTGGAATTCTCCCTATAAAAACCTCTTGTGCCAGGATGGAGGTGTGTGGGCATAGGGGAAAACCTCTGCTGAGGCTGACTCCTTGTTGCACAGCCAGGGTTGATCCCCGGGCTTAGCACTGTTTTTTTTTCCTTGGCTGGCTAGATAAAATTTGACCATTAATAAAACTATTTTTATTTTTAATTTGGCTGAATAAATTTTCATTTATAACATTAGTAATTAAGCCAAGTCTGGTTGGTTCTCTGCAGAGCTGCAGCAGCCAGCCAAACCGCTGCCTTTTCCCAGCATTTCCTCCCAGGCAGCCTGACCCTGGCTGACCTGTACCCCAAAATATTCCTGCTCCCCGTATCTTGACCAAATTCTCTTTATTGAATTTATTTTTTCTTCCCAATAGCTCTGTCTCATCAAAATCGAGAACTGTTTTCCTGAATATAGACAGGACTCTCATGTTAAAAAAAAAGGGACACTACCAACCTACCCCTCCTACCCAAATAATGTGATTACATGTCTGGTTTTGAGTCTCCTTTGTGCACACACATTCCAGAAAACTAACAGCAATATTATCATTCATTTATTAATTCAATTTTCATAAAAATATATAAGCTACATATAAAAAGTAAAACCAGGCAATAAAAATGTTTTCCAAGTTATGAGCAACTTAAACATTAAAATCTTCCCCTCACAACTCTGAAACATGTCCTGGGTAAGAACAGTAATAAACTGAGTATATGTGGGTGTCAGCAGGTAACCTTCCAATGGGACCTGTCCTGCTAACAGAGCTCATACTTAGTTCTAAGTCGTCCCTAGATGAAGAAGCCTTCAGAGCGAGGTGCCAGCTGGCTCAGCAGGGACAAACACCTCCTCCCAGGTATAATCTGCCAGGTTCACAGGCTGGCACAGCCAAGGATCCTCTGCCAGCATGGCCAGAGTCATGCGCTGCTCCGGAACAGGGTGCAGGAGCCCGGCCATCAGATCCATGAGACCTGGGCAGGGACAGCAGAGGATGGCTCAGGCTGGATTTTAGGCAGGTTGGGAATGAGAGATACAGTCTATGTTCAAAGAATGACAAATTTCCCAAACTCTGCTGCACTGAGCAGCTTTCCAAATCACAGAACACATCAGGAAGAATTTCTTCAGTCTTCCCCTTTATTTGGGGTGAAAAAACACCGCTTATACTTTCCCAAGAGATCTGCTCCTTTTGAAAAGCAAATGGGAAGAGCTCACCTTCTGACACAGGGCGAGGAGGACTCAGGACAGCTGCCAAGGCCTCCTCCAGCTCACAGAAGGGATTCTCCCCAAGCACCAGGGTGTAAAGGGTGATGCCAAGTGACCACATCTCCAGCTCAGGGCCGTGGTACCTGTGCAGAGATAAGCTTGCTGAAACTCAGATTGCAAGTACAGAGCTATATGCTAAAGAAAGTTAAAAGAAAAGAGGGGCCTTGACAGCCCTTGTTTCCAATTTTTAACATAGAAAGTTTGTGAGAATACTAAGAAGGTTCTCGTGTGTTTGAGGAGTCTGCATTATCCTTCTCCAGGAAATAAAACCAACCACAGAACAGCCAACCAGTTTCTGTTGATGAGTATGTGTAACATGCACCCAGACTTCCACATACGTAAGCTGGTGACAAGAACTTACCCCTCCACCTTCTTCATCATCAGCCAAAACTGTCAAGTAAATATTTAACTGCAAGAGCAAACACATCCTCCCAGCCCTTTCAAAACAAAAGTTACATGGAAATAACTATTAACTATCTCAGTTCCATCTGAGAAAACATGCCAGTTCCTTCACACAGTAAGAGGTGGAATTCCCAGGGCAGAGCTGCTTGCTTCACCTTTCACCTCATTCCCAGCAGGAATTTCCTCTCTTCCTTGCATTGCTTCCCCCACACTCCTTTAGGAGGAGGGCCCATGGAAACAGCTGTGAAGCAGCAGCAAGATCCATGCAGGCATGTACAATTACAGCAGTGCCACCCTGTGATGGGGAGGCTTCCTTGTGGAGCAGTTATGAGAGCACCAGCTGCCAGGTACAGAGCACTTGGAGAGGCAAAGAAGAGGGAAGAGAGCCAAGATTTCAGTAGCACATCCAAAACAGCAGCAAGAGAAGCTGTAAGAGAAGAATCCTTGAATCCTGAGGAGTACAAAAATCAGTGGTGAGATGAACAAGTACCAAACTGCAAAAATTCAAACAGAGGGAAGCATGTGGGAAAGAAAACAGAGAGGATGAGAGTGGGAGGATACAAAGCAGAGACATGCAAGGAGAAGGTGCTATCAACAGCAATACTTGCTTATTCCACTTCTCTGAAAGAGCAGCTTTTGCTAGAGAGAGCCTGACAACAGTTTTAGAAACACCTTTGTACATATTCAAGCTTTTACAACTTGATTTCTGTCACTAGAGTGCCCTACTTTGTATGCACTCAGACCTTCACAGTGATTTCTGCCACTGCAGTGCCTTAAATCTCACTGCAGTTTCCTGTGGTTGGATGCTCTAGCAGCATTCCAATGGCATAGAAGCCTGCCTACTGTTCCAGCCCTGCCCACATGGGTTATTTTTGGTGTGATGGCACAAAAATGACTTTTCAGAGGGTGACATACGGTTTGCCAGACAGCACTTCTGGTGAGCAGTATTCAATTGTCCCACAGAAGGTATAAAATAATTTCCCAGGTTCCAGGTAGGCAGCTGAACCAAAATCCACTAATTTAATTGTGAAATCTTCAGCGATGACAATATTTTCATCCTTGATATCTCTGTGAAGGATGTTCCTACAGTGGAGATACCCAACAGCTGATACAAGCTGGAAGAGACAGAAGGGACTAGGTGTTACTACATAAAGTCCCTGAATAGTTGATGTAGCATCTCAGCTTTCCCAGAGTCACATTTTGGCTTGTTTTGACACTGCCTAAACAAGATATACATCCTAATTATGGTAACTGGAAATGGCCTCAGGCCTGCCTGTCATCATTCCTGCAGTGCTTATGGAAGAGACACTTCAAAGAGCCTTTGCTGCTTTCATCTCACAGATGTGCAGGAGGAGGGGATGCTGCAGTCAGGATGGGATTGACAGCATTGGAGCTCGCTGCTACAATCCTGCAAGTTCCTCTATTTTTATCCCAGCATTTGGAGGGTCCTTTGGTTTCTCCAGAAGGATATTACTGTGTGCCTTCCATGCTGCAGGATGACAAAGCATTTGAGAGCCAAGTTTGGTATAAATAACATAGTCACTCCTAAACTCCATTCTTTTTCCAGCACGATTCATGGTTTAATGCCATAATTAAGGATAATATGAGAATGATATCACCGTGGAGATGATCCTGACTCCTACTATGTTTTTAAAAAGAAAAGCAGATGGCTGAGGGAGAAAAGTTTCTATTTATAATACAAATGTGCCTCTGCAGAGAAATTCAGCCTTACAAACCCCAGGCTAGGTTAAGGAAAGGGCTGATCCATCACAAGGCTAAAGGGATACTTTTGGCTTCCATCTTCCATCAGCACCCCAGGTGAGGGCAGGGTGGGCACAGCAAGGGTTTGTGTGAGGGTTACCACATGCACAGCAATTCTTGCATACCCTAGAGCAAGGAATTTACTCATGAGAGGAAATTACCTGGGGACTGCTGTTGTGGCTAACTCACTAAACAAAGTACAGTTCAGCCCTCAGGCAAGCTCCTGACTTACGGGAAACTACCCTGAGTTACTTTGCATTATGCCACCTTAAAATCCAATATAATTTCTTGATTTAAAGAGCAGAGCCCTTTACTCCTGTAACCGATCTAAACTAAGCACTGAGGTAAGTGAAAACGTGGCTTTTTGCAGGCTTGGGGCAGCTTCTGTGAGTTTTCCTTCTCCTTCAGAGGAAATGTGAGTGCTACATGAACGGTGTCTGGGTGACAGGGGCTGTGTGCTGTCCTGGTAACAGCTGAGGGGCCAGGGAAACCTCACAGGCAGTGAGGTCCTGGAAAGGCTTCTTGGTTGTTTCTAAGTAAACCTTAACAAGGTTTCTGCAGGCAGCATTTCAATCAGCCCTACAGGATGGTGGGGAAAGGTTCTGCAAGTATAGAGCACAACTCCAGTGCCAGTTGATTAGCCAGTATTAAGTGGAACAGAATCCTGGTTCTTACATTAACCAATTCTCACCTGCATGTAGCAATTCTGCTCTCACCTGTCTGAATATATAACTTGCTAATGGCTCATCCAAGTTGGGCTGATTATCAATAAATGTAAAGAGGTCCAGACCAGATCCATGCTTCTCCATCACCAGTTGGAAGAAGCATTCATTTTCAAATACATCCAGCACCTATAAATAAAAGACTTGTTAAATCATATGCTTCATCCTCAA